GAATCATGTTGTTCACACATCATAACAAAAATAATAATAAAAGAGTATTGTTTATTAATTATTCTTATTTTAAGAAAAAGAATGAGGTGTACAAGTAATACATAGGCCTAGGCCTATGTGATTTATATGAAAAAATATTAAAAGTACTTATATTTAGACAAATAAACAAATTTACTTGTCGGGAGCAAGTACGATAAGCAGGTGTTGCCTCGTCTATCGATGCATGAGGGCGGTCAAATGCATCAAGCACAAGCTGCGTCATACGGCGGTCTGAAGCCTATTTTCCACTTGGCGAATTTATTCGCGCAAATGAAAAGCGCTGCGGCTCATGCACATACTCATGCTCATTCACATTTCTATCGGAGTTTTTGTTAGCGAAAAAATGCGCAACCAATCAGAACTCAGGAAGCGAACCAACGCTTTGATTCGCACGATAAATTCGCCTGTGGAAAACCAGCTTAAAGCCGGTTTTACACTAGGTAAATTTATTCGATGACGTAAATAATGTCGAAATATTGAATCAAGAAAGATGGCGTGTATTCCGATATTGGAGTATGTATTATACCATGATTATACTATCTGATGTGTCTTTGAGGTAATGCACTCACTGATTGGCCATGTAAAACTGTTCTTACGTAGTAGGCCTATTCATAGGATTACAATTTAGCTTGTCATGTTTGGTTTGCTGGCTTGCCAAAGTGGGCAAATTGCGGAGCACGCTTGCGAATATATCTACTTTCCAACGAGTGTGTAACAATGATTTGAAAAGTCGATTATTTTCAATTTACATTTTAATTTATCTTTATTATTTTTTGTAGATATTATCTTTATTTTTTTTGGGTAAATATAACTTGATGTTGAGAACTGTTTCTCATTGCGAAAACTGTTTCTGTTCCTTCAAGATAAATGTCGAGGATGAAGTGTTTTTGTTATAATTGTCTGGTTTAGACATACATATTTCTCTTTTTTAATGCCCATGATTAAATTGAATTGTTGTTAGTATCATTTATATATATTTATTAATTTTAATATTGTAATCTTTTTTATTCATTGTTAATTTTTTTTTTGTTTTTTTTTTTTTGGTATTTCCAGAATTGGTTCCTTTGTTGGTAGATATCCGATAGCATGCATTATTGTGTCTATAGTTATAACTATGGGTTTTGGAGGTGGAATCGCGATAATAAAAAACGAAAACAGACGGGAGAAACTCTGGGTACCTTTGGAATCTGACAACCAGGATTACCGTTTATACGTCACTGAAAATTATAAAGATCCATTCTTTGAGATAATTATCTTCGAAAATGATAATATTTTGACACCAGCGTCACTAAAAGCTGTAAGTATGTCTACTCGTCATTGTTGTTGTTGCCATTTACTTTGATTCAGGCTTTCTACTGTAAAAGGATAATTCTTCAGTGCCACCACACCTCTCCGCTTTCAACAACGGGTTAAGGTTTGGTACATTATCCTCTTGAACACTCTGTGGAAGCCTGGCAAACAGGCAGATCGAGTGCCTTTGACACATGCTCTGACATTAGTTTCTTTGTATTATGATTTGTTGCATCTCATGTTTTGGGGCAGTTTGTTCCGAACGCGGCTAATGACTCGCTCTGGCATTATTCGTTGAAGAAAAAAAGTACATACATATAATAATTAAATCTTCATTCCTCAGATGCTTAAGGTCTGTCTCTTATACACATCTAGATGTGTATAAGAGACAGGAATTTATACAGATTAAACCTTTTATTAAAAACCGGATGTGGTGATAACTGAGATTAAGAGCCAAGTACTTTTGAAGAAAAAGCTTACAAATTGTATACAGGTTAGCTTACTTAAAAGCCTACAATGCATGACACTGAATCATGTTGTTCACACATCATAACAAAAATAATAATAAAAGAGTATTGTTTATTAATTATTCTTATTTTAAGAAAAAGAATGAGGTGTACAAGTAATACATAGGCCTAGGCCTATGTGATTTATATGAAAAAATATTAAAAGTACTTATATTTAGACAAATAAACAAATTTACTTGTCGCGAGCAAGTACGATAAGCAGGTGTTGCCTCGTCTATCGATGCATGAGGGCGGTCAAATGCATCAAGCACAAGCTGCGTCATACGGCGGTCTGAAGCCTATTTTCCACTTGGCGAATTTATTCGCGCAAATGAAAAGCGCTGCGGCTCATGCACATACTCATGCTCATTCACATTTCTATCGGAGTTTTTGTTAGCGAAAAAATGCGCAACCAATCAGAACTCAGGAAGCGAACCAACGCTTTGATTCGCACGATAAATTCGCCTGTGGAAAACCAGCTTAAAGCCGGTTTTACACTAGGTAAATTTATTCGATGACGTAAATAATGTCGAAATATTGAATCAAGAAAGATGGCGTGTATTCCGATATTGGAGTATGTATTATACCATGATTATACTATCTGATGTGTCTTTGAGGTAATGCACTCACTGATTGGCCATGTAAAACTGTTCTTACGTAGTAGGCCTATTCATAGGATTACAATTTAGCTTGTCATGTTTGGTTTGCTGGCTTGCCAAAGTGGGCAAATTGCGGAGCACGCTTGCGAATATATCTACTTTCCAACGAGTGTGTAACAATGATTTGAAAAGTCGATTATTTTCAATTTACATTTTAATTTATCTTTATTATTTTTTGTAGATATTATCTTTATTTTTTTTGGGTAAATATAACTTGATGTTGAGAACTGTTTCTCATTGCGAAAACTGTTTCTGTTCCTTCAAGATAAATGTCGGGGATGAAGTGTTTTTGTTATAATTGTCTGGTTTAGACATACATATTTCTCTTTTTTAATGCCCATGATTAAATTGAATTGTTGTTAGTATCATTTATATATATTTATTAATTTTAATATTGTAATCTTTTTTATTCATTGTTAATTTTTTTTTTGTTTTTTTTTTTTTGGTATTTCCAGAATTGGTTCCTTTGTTGGTAGATATCCGATAGCATGCATTATTGTGTCTATAGTTATAACTATGGGATTTGGAGGTGGAATCGCGATAATAAAAAACGAAAACAGACGGGAGAAACTCTGGGTACCTTTGGAATCTGACAACCAGGATTACCGTTTATACGTCACTGAAAATTATAAAGATCCATTCTTTGAGATAATTATCTTCGAAAATGATAATATTTTGACACCAGCGTCACTAAAAGCTGTAAGTATGTCTACTCGTCATTGTTGTTGTTGCCATTTACTTTGATTCAGGCTTTCTACTGTAAAAGGATAATTCTTCAGTGCCACCACACCTCTCCGCTTTCAACAACGGGTTAAGGTTTGGTACATTATCCTCTTGAACACTCTGTGGAAGCCTGGCAAACAGGCAGATCGAGTGCCTTTGACACATGCTCTGACATTAGTTTCTTTGTATTATGATTTGTTGCATCTCATGTTTTGGGGCAGTTTGTTCCGAACGCGGCTAATGACTCGCTCTTGCATTATTCGTTGAAGAATAAAAGTCCCTATGTACACAAACATACATATAATAATTAAATCTTCATTCCTCAGATGCTTAAGGTTGATGAAAAAATCAAAGCGATCAATGTCGGAAAAGACTGGGAATCTATCTGCTTCAGGTATGTAAAGTTTTTCTTTCATATGTATGCTTGTTAGAAATTTAACCTGTTTTGGCTTTTGTTTTTTGTAGTACTAACTCGATTCAAATTAACATACAGTTTACGTACACCTTAAATTGTACTAATGCAATATAATGGTGATTTGTATATCGTATATATAAGTTATTATTAATTTTGATATTGAATTGAGCCAACATTGTGTTAACCTCCCATGTAATAATATATGAGTTAAGAAAATTATTACGGTAAAATCAATAGAAACATATCTTATAACCTTTCTGTCACGGTTCTAGAGTTCTGAACTCCGGGCTTCCCCATTGGGCCCGCCCATTAATAGCCTGGCCATATAATAATAATAATAGCCATTGTCTAAATGTGTGCAACATGCTAATTCCTATGCAATTCACATGACCCGGCAATTGGCTTCCACACCTATGTAACATATGGTCAACTCCTGGGTGGGTAAGGAAATCCCTTTCTCCTAATATTCTTATTCTATAATCTGAATGTACAAACCTTCTCCCTGTTGTGTCATATTGCCATCGATGCGCTCGATCCGCTTGTAGGCCAAGTTGTTGTTATACTGGTGTAATATTACCAGCTATATATATATCAGGTGAAATGTAGTAAAGGTGCATGTATTAAGTGTGAAGCTAATTAATAGAACGTTCGGTTCAAATCTCCCTTTTGTTTTTTATTATTATTTTGTTATTTTTATTATTTGTGCATCTATAGAATACTTTTTTAATATTATTATTTTTCACAATTATTATTTTTTCTAAATTGGGATAGCTGATTGTGAGATATGCGGCCGGAAAATATTAAAAACATTCTAAAATCTGCATTTTACTTCTCCAATCCATAATGGAGGCCTACCATAGGCCTCGAAGGCCTAAAAGACAGACAGAAAGACAGAACAACAGAAAGAGAGTCATCATCAGACAGACAGCAATGAATTCATAACCTCCTTGGCGGAGGTAATTAATCAAACATGCAATACCTGAAAATATAAAATCTTGTACAAAGATTACGACGGTGCTTCAAACCTTAGATGGTTGGTCTCTACATTAACCTTTGCTTTCTTTGTTTTAACGTCGGTGTACACTATAGGTTCGGAGACAGCTGTTTCGTGTCTAGTATCCTAGAGCTGTGGGGGTTCAATAAAACTATTATATATGGTTTATCGCAGCAGGACATTCTTGACAAGATAAATGAGCCTAATCCAATAAGGTATGGAAATTTTTTTTCGCTTTAAAGATATAATTCTCTGTGTTAAGTTGTACAATCTTGAAAGTAAAAAGAATACAACATTCAATACCAGCTGTTTTAAGGGTCTATACAGACATAAAAACATAGGGACAGTAGGGCCTTATTTAAGGAAAATATGTTTTTCACTTACCATTATTATTTTTTTCCTCCATGCACTTACAGACTGCCACCCCAACAAAATCAATGGTATTGACAACTAATCCTTTTTTTTCCTTGTCCTGAAGTCTTGTGACGTTTAGGGAAGTAAATGTGGCATCATTGCTAGGTGGGGTCGATGATGAAACGTACATCAGTATTGCCACAGCCGCTTTGAGCAACTACGGAGTCGTGGATAACAGCAAATTTGATGATTCCGAAGGCAAATACGTCAGTACATGTTTTTTTTATCATTCCATACCAAGTTGTTGACATTGTTGATGGCGATGCGTGGTGATGGTGCATTGTGGTGAATGTGCATAGCAGTGGTGGAGGTTGTGATGTCAGTATTGCTGGCATTATTAACAATATTAATAGCTAATGGTAGCTATAATAACAGTAATTTACAACACACCAACAACATAATTCTGTAAAGAATATTCAAATCAAACACCTGTATTTACGTTGATTTTACAATATTGTTTTTCATATTTTTGAGACATATCCCCATCGATATTCGAACCGTCCTCAGTACAGTTGGGCTAATTTACCAATATTACATGAGGCAATTGTTTCACTTTTACTTTGGTATATTTTCCCTCTATCTATTCACTCCCATCTATTGGTATATTTTCCCTCTGCTTACGACTTAGTTTATATTATCACAACTGTGAGGTATTTTTTCATCTCTTTTTGTTTCATCTTGTATCTTTAAAGAATGGACCTACATTGTATTGGCTACTCAGGGGCGGATCCAGAGATGTCTGCAGGGGCCGAAAGTTGGACCGATCGAGATAATACCATACTAGGGGCCCGGGGGCTTTCCCCCGCGAAATTCTCGTGTTCTAGACGCCAGAAAATAACATCTAAGGCGCTTTGGGCGATCATTCCCCCCTCCCCTACATCCGCCCCTGCTACAGTTATATATAACAGAATTTTATATCGTATTGTAGGTTGACAAAGATGCTGAAGATTGGGAACTGGAATTCATCGAAATTGCAACGGATGACTACGAAGACATGACTGTCTACGGTGTCGCATTCACGAGGTAATTATTTGTCATTGGTCCAACGATTTGTTCTGGCACAATTTGCCCTAAAATAGGCTTATTAAAAATCACAATATTTACTATCACATACCGGTAGTCTTAATTGTGATATTTATACTTTTAGTTTTGATATTGAGTCGTCGAACACTGTCACCGGTGATACATATTTTCTCGCTGGTGGCTACGGCCTTTTGTTCATCTACATCGCAGTGATGCTAAGCAAGTTCACTTTGATCGAACATAAAGTAAGTCGAAAACAACCGTAGAGATGTGGAAGTGACTTCGCCAGTGGGAACGAAATGTCCACAATCACCCACCCTGCATATTGGATGCGATAAACCGCACCCTCATCAAAATGTACATATGATGTAGATGATGACAACAATGATGCCTATGAGGACGATGAGGTTGATAATGATTAGTATGGTGATGGTGATGATGATGATGAAGCTGACAAAGATGAGGGTGATGACGACGATGATGATCGTGATGATTACAACGAAAAGCCTCCACCAATACATACCTATGTATTTCTTCATAAACCCTTTTTATAGGTATAATAATACTGGTGAGCTTTAGCTTTAAACTTTAACAATAAAATTTTAATAATATTGCTTCAATTATATAGAGAGAATATATCTCTTGCCATTTAAAAGACACAGTATTTCAATAATTTTAATCTACCCTTTGATTGGAAATAATCAATTTAAAGCCGGTCACTCACTGCGCCCAAATGTCGCCAGCCGATGCGATTCTATAAAGCCGGTTTCCTTAAAATCGTTACACTGTCGCTTCAGTGTTTTTGCGTTGTAGCAGTCTCCGATGCAAAAAGAGGCATCACAGAAAGCTGTCGGTGATAGCGATCGATTGCATGGAAACCAAGTTGAACGAATGCCGGTATCGTGTCGTAGCGTTCACAGGAAGCGGAGTTAAATTCGTCACAAGACGGTCGTACAACGCGGTGAGCGCCCGGCTTAAGGATTTAAAAAATAATTGAATTAATTTTATTTAAGTTCGTTTTTCCAAACTTCACCACTGACATACATACATACATACCTGTCTCTTATACACATCTAGATGTGTATAAGAGACAGCAATCCTTACCATTCGGGTGTATGTTCCATCAATTTTTTTAGTAAGAGCTTTCGTTTGGGGCTGATCTATACACCTGTCCACTCCGTCTTACCTTTCCTTTTACTTGGTGAATATCAATTTCGATTTTTTAATCAATACCGTACATTTGATCGTTTGCAGTGACTATGGAGTGGAGGTTGAAATTGGTATAAGCATAGGCTTTTGTTGCTAACTACAAGGTTAAATTGAATAGATGAGTAAAAAAAGAGTACTACAAAACAATTTGTAACTTTTATTTTATTTTATTATTTATTTAGGTAAAAAAACCCGACAAACAAAGCGGTAGAACAAAGCTAAAGTGCTTGCATCACAATACATACAAAAAATAAACCAGGATCAATATATACAACAAGATGACAATACTTAATTCATAGCAAAAAACAAATTTAATTACATTGCAATTCTTATCACTGTTAATTGCTTTATTACATCATTATGTTATTTAGGAATCGGTGTGGATGATATGTTTGTGATTGTTCAGTCCTGGGCAAATTTGAGCGAAGAGGAGAAAAAGAAATCCGTTCACGAACAAAGTTCACTCGCTTTAAAACATGCAGTAAGTTAATATCATAAGATTTTTTTGAATATTGTATCTGTTAAATCCATAGCTTATGATGCGATTTTGTAGTTCTCTTGTCTTTAACGGACTTATAGTTTTACTGTTCAATAATATATCACAGATAAAGGAAAGTAAACAAACAAGTTATACAGCATATGTATTGCATTTTATAGTGTTTCATTAAGTTCTTGAAATCTGTTGCAGTCGCGTCGGTGTTGCAGTGTGAAAAAATACGCTGTCGGCCCATCAATTAATTTATTTTGATATTATAATTTATATTGTATTACATTTATTTATGTGTACTTGTTCATTAATTTTCAGGGTGTATCCATCACCGTCACATCTATAACAGACTTCAGCGCCTTTGCAATCGGAGCAACTACCATTTTACCGGCACTGCGTTCATTCTGTCTTTACTGCGGCATCGGTATCATTTTCTTGTTCATATTCAGCATTCTGTTCTTTACAGCAACGCTTTCGTTAGATCAGCGACGAATCAACAGCAGACGTAACGCTTGCTGCTGTTGTATTCAGTATGGAGATGACTACGAACCGTCAGAATGTGGTCAGGAAGATAGGTTTCAGAAGTTTTTTGAAGTAGTATATGCACCTTTTCTGACAAAAACTCCTGTTAAAGTAAGTTGTGCGTAAGATTCATGCAATAATGTTTCTGAAAAATAACTACTGTAATGAGCAAATGCGTGCCTTTCTCGAATAAACATTGCTTTTAAGTAAGCTCCACATTGAAACATGTTCTTTCTTTTTTTTTTTTATCAAGAACATTATAAATATCTTTTATTTACGATTTATGTTGTCGAGTGGACACTTGACTATATCATGTCGATGACAGGGTTCTATTTTCTTTAGGGAATTGTTATTTTAGTATTAATATTAGCATAGTTATTATATTATTATTGATCGAATTTCTTTATTTTCTTAAGGTTGTAGTCTTGACCATCACTGTCTGTTTACTTGGCTTTGGAATATGGGGTTTGATTGAATTAGAACAGTTTTTTAATTTCCGGTGGTTCTTGCCTTCTGACAGTTACGCAACAGAATTCATAGACGCCAGCGAACGCGTAAGTACCATTTGGAGGAGATCATTGATATTATTATTATTTTGCTACAGCAGCCCTCCTTTGGGACACCCCTATTAAGGAACATCCCTATTAAGGGGACACTTTTTCGTGAAACGAGGGGATATACCGGTATATCTTTTAACACTACGGCGAACCCTTATTAAGGTGACACTTTCCGAGTGTGCCAAATGGTCAAATAACCCCTACAAAGGCGATACTGTTTTTTATTTTATTTTATAGGCCTATCACAATAACTAGCAGTTTTAAAATAAGAAGAAAAAAAGCATTCAACTTTATATTTTGACACCTTTCAAAGCAATAAAACCAGACTTTTCTCCCCTGAATCCTTAGAGTGAACATTGGTGTATAAGCCTACTGCATACTTCGTATAATCCAATCTTAAGGGTCAATTTTGCTATAAAGGGCTATAAATTAATTATAATTCTATAATGTCAATAAAAATAAAATTATAAAGAATGTATATCATTATTGTATGAACGCATACAAAAAGCCTATTAAGGGGACAATTTCAAGTTTTTGGTTAGTGTCCTCTTAATAGGGGTACACTATTCAGGGGACACCCATATTAAGGGGACACTTTTTGAGCCGCGAAGGTTCCCCCTTAATAGGGTTTCTACTGTACTGTTGTTTGTGCTGCTGTAGTGAGGATGATGTTAGTAAGGGAAGGCACTTTTTGTGTTTGATGGTACATTTTGTACAACGTACTGTATTCACTAATAGCGCCATCATAGTGTACATGAAGTGCATTTTCCTCGGTAAGGCCCTCAGGCGACACTCTATCACCTTAGTTTTCCTTGCTGACTTTAAGGCTCAGACAGCGTCGGCCGACGCAGCCCGACGCGTTTGTTGTCGCGTCGGGTCTGTGTGAGTTGAACGCAGACGCGATGGTGTGCGTCGGGGGCAGTCGCGTAGTAGAATATTAAACGTGTTTAATATTTCTCAAGACGGCTTAAGACTGTCCCCGACGATAAATCGGGTCGGGCTGCGTCGGCCGACGCTGTCTGAGTTGGCCTTTATGCTGATGACTTGTATATCTGTTTATTCGTAAAATATTAGTATAAAAAATACCCTACAGTATTTTGTTAAAAGTTCCAGTCATTGAAAGATCTCACAAGACCATAAATATAGCAGAGTTTTCGAAAGGAACAAATTATGCTATAGAATTCCAGGACCTATAGTCACATTTCCTAGGATGTACGAGTATAGGCCTATTGATCAATGACCACAATGGAACATGCAAATAAAAATCAATAATTCATTTTATATACATACGATATAATCAAAATTCCAAGTCTGTTTTCACATAGCTTAATAAAAGTGTCACGAGAGGTATAAAATATTGCCATTTTTATCATAGTATTACCCACAGAATGGTGACAATGCAGCAATTTACCTCAACAATATTGACTTGTTTCGTGAGCGTTCAAAGGTAGATGCCCTATACAATGATGTGATCGACGAAGACTACGTCGATTCGTCATCATTTTCTAACTGGTATGAAGAATTCGGACAATGGATTAAGGAAAATAAAGCTAACGAGCAAGAATATAACAACGTAACTATGTGGCCTGATACGGAGCAAGCATTTCAAGCCTGGGTCCAAGAGTTTCTTCTTCACCCCATGGGTGGTGTTACATATACATCCGATGTCATTATCAATGGTGAATCGAGCACATTTGAAATTATTGTAAGTAGAACTGTAGCTAAGCCAGCATAATGCTGTAGCCCAAGCACAGCAAAAGGAATAAACCAGTAGGCCTATTATGTCCATTTGTGTCCTCACCCTGTTAAAATGTTGGTATTGGGAAATTTGACATTTATTTATTTTATGCTTATTTATTTTTATTCCAGACTTCTCGAATCACTTTCCAGCACGTCGTTTTCAAAGGATCAACAGAGGAAGTTGAAGCTATGGACTCCATACAAGCGTTAGTGAACAGCTATGATTTTGAAGGGGACGGCTATGCTTTTGCTTACTCAACATTTTACCTGGATTATGAACCGAATAAGGTACCACAAATGATTGTATCGATCATAGTATTTTGACGAAAAGTTTATTATCAGTTGTGAGAATCGCTTAGGCGTGGAATAACTTGTGACCTCTCACCATCAAGTGAGTGTCATTCTCATTTTGGTTGTGAGAGGTCGCAGGTACAATTAAATTTAATATTTGTATATTAATTTTGATATTGATTGTATTGTTTATTTGTTCAAAACGAATGTTTATGTGAGCAAAAAGGAAATACAAGTAACAGTAAACAGAAGTGATTATGGTTGTCACTCTCATTTATTGCACTCTTTCTGTTAATATTGTTGTTGCTTGTTTAGTAGTGTCATTGCTTTTCATTGGTATGATTTCTTTCAAAACAATTATGTTTATTGAAATATTCACAAACATTGTTCTCTTGAAGGTAATTCAAGATGAATTATTGCGGAATATGGGGCTCGCCTGTCTGTGTGTGTTTGTTGTCATTTTGCTGCTGCTTGCCAATTTACAAGCTTGCTGTCTCGTGTTTTTATCGGTCTTCCTCACTTTGGTAAGTATTATACTGTAGGTGTTACTTCTATAATTCAAAGCCTTAATAAACTTGTAGGGCTTCAAGACATGCATTTCAAACCACCATGGTGTATGGGTTATATAAGAATTGTCTTTATAGTATGTATATATATTATATTATCATATTTATTATTATAGTAATATATATTACAGTGATATTAATAGTATTATTAATAGTGATATTAATACTATTATTACAGTATTATTACATTATTATTGTCTCTCATTAATTCAATTATTATTATTATCGTACATTATTACATCTTCATCATAACAGTATCATCATCATCATCATCATTATTATTATTATTATTATTATTATTATTATTATTATTATTATTATTATTATTATTATCATTATTATCATTATTATTATTATCATTATTATTATCATTATTACATTTTGTAGATCGATCTTGCTGGATTCATTCATCACTGGGGGCTTACTATCGATACGGTAGTCACCATCCAACTCATATTGTCGATTGGTATCGCTGTTGATTATGCCGCTCACATTGGCCACACGTTCCTAACTGTAACAGGAACGAGAAATGGTAAGTAATCGGTACAGAGACAGACAGAAATGGATACGGAGTGTACCACTAGTGTTGTAGAATAATTTTCTATAGTTAAATTATCCCACATTTTAACCGATCCGGGATTGGTTGTTTTCAGCAATCTTCAGTAGCGGGTTCAAGGGTCTCGCACCCCACCCCAACTCCTAATTTGTTTTAAATTTATAAACTAAATGGAGAAAAATAAAATTGTATTTAAATTAAGTATGAAAGTGCATTTCCGGCGATCTAGAGGTGCCATAATTATATTTTTTCTTTATACTCAGCCCCATCCATTGTTTTGCTGAGATGGTGTAGAACCTCTGTCTGTGAATCCCTACCTGGCACTTTCGAATTCATGAAACCTCCACTACTCTGACTTCAGTCGTATTCCCTTTATTGTATTATCGTAGCTCATTAACGTATTGTATAATTATATGATTGTTTGTGTAACAGTATTAAGATACGTCCATCTCAAGGAAAGGTACTAAGATATATCCATCCAATGATATGATGTGTTTTGTCATGAAAATTACCCTTATTTCATATCTTTTTTTTTTCTTTGCTTGGACAGAACGTGCTCGAAAAGCAATAACGGACATTGGGCCTGCTGTCTTTAACGGTGGATTTAGTACACTATTAGCTTTCGTTTTGTTATCACTATCAACATCTTATATATTTAAGACATTTTTTAAGGTAAGCTTAAGATGACAATGCAGTGAGTGTCAGGCTTGAATTGAACCCAGGACACTGGGACTAGAATAGAATGCAAGCATTTTACCATCAATCTACAGCTCCAATTTTTGTTTATTAACTGTTTTCTATTCCCATTTCCAGATATTTTTCCTGGTTGTTTTATTCGGTTTGTTCCATGGCCTAGTTTTACTGCCAGTCCTACTCAGCTGGATTGGGCCTGCTCCATATGCGTCAGCGGTTCAAGTTGATGCTGCAAACTCCACTCAGAATGGCTCTGTAAAGAATAACTCAAGTAAAGACCAAAGTAACCACGCCACCAACGGAGCAATCATCAACCCAGATTCGCCCTCAGAGAAAGCTGACTTCGATAACCCAGCATATGATGGCGAGGTTGCCAGTGTACCACGTAGTGCTGAGGAAAAAATTCAAATGAAGGATGTAGTTTAAAAAGTAAAAGTTTAAAATAATATTTTATCATATCAAAACAATTTATAGCAAATTTATGTATATATATATATGTATAGGTATATACATATTTATATATATATACATATATAGGCCTATGTATGTATATATATATATATGTATATATATATGTATACATATATATATACGTATATATATATAGATATATATATATATACACATATATATATATACATATATAGGCCTATATACGTATATATATATGTGCTTTCTAACGATAATACTAAACCAACGATTTCAGCCTGCGAGCTGCTTATTTTGGTTTTTCTTTTATACCCGAATAAATAATTTTTAAAAAGTTAAAGTAATTGCAACTGCAAGCAAAATGAATCAATAAGCATTGATCTTTCATGGATATTGTTGCCAAGGTCCCACAAAACGACAGCTCAAACGTATGTAAGCAGTGAACGGGCCGCTTGACCCTGATCGATCGATTGTAATGTATACCGTACCCTCCATGGTTAAATTTGGTTGGCACTGACAGAAACTTCCACTGTCATAGAACACTTGTCAATACTCTGTACTATAATAGCATTAGAAACATATATGATAGCCTTGATTAGTAGTAAGTGAATGAACGGTTTTTCTTGCATATATTTTATAAACAAATTTTATATTTTTTATAAATATCCGAAAAATTATGGATACGCCCCTGGTATAGGCATTTGTTTTGTATCGTCATGATTATGTCTACAAGGTGCAAGATGTACTTATTGAAAAGCAAACCAATAACTGTATGAGGTGCCGGCCGCGTACGGCTGGAGATAAACTTACGTAAATTGTCATTGTACAGTATTAAAGAGATTGGCGCCGCGTACGTCTGGAGATACGTAAAAAATAAGATGTATATCCGCTTCACTTTTGCTATGCGAGAGTTTTATCTTGTGTTCATAGTATATTTGGATTAGGGAACTGCTACGCAGCAAATCTATAATATCGCTCTTGTTTATACATCAAATCTGAATGATAATTCCTTATACTATATAATGGTTATATTTACTTTCATGCAATGTGGATCTGTTTCTCAGATATTTCATCGTGAAGTGTTATTAAACGCAATTAAAACGTCATAAAGGTGTGCTGAACTGCTTCTCATGTGAGTTCATCAAACTTTTCATTATGCAACTGACCTACATAATTATAACCGAACAGACATCATACTCTGAATCAATAGTAATTATATGCATGATTCACCGCTAGAACGATCGAGCTATATTGGACCGAGTAATTCCATTGAATTGAACACTTCAGCAACGACTGGTTTTGTGAGAGCTTTTTTTTTTTTTTATGGCATATTGCATAAGCAGTCAACGCTTTAATAACCGTTCGTGAATGACGACCATCCATTAGAGTAATATATACTATCAAGATGACAACAGCAAAACAGGCAAATGGTTGCAGAATAACCGACATAATTATATCTACTTTCGAGTCAATATTTATAAGGTTGGTAGAAAGCAATCACTCAAACATGTTAGGCCTAATTATGTAATGCAATACCTGTGAATGTGTTTTTAACGTAGGCCTATCATGTGTTTATTAAGAAATTTTGAACCAATCGCCCCTAGACTAGGGAATGGAAGCAAACGGACCCGATTCAATTTATATTACCCCTGATGGGTTTCTTGTGGAAAGTGTAGAATATCTGTAGGCATATTAAGCCTGTTCAAGCTCATCTTACCAACCATATTATTAGGACAGTGTTTACAATGGTAAGGTGTTAATTAGCACTAGTATAAATATAGACTTGCCACAAGTCTCTTATTTGTTACTATTTTTTCTAAAAGAAATCGAGTATGGGACGCCAATTAAATTAGTTATGGTGCGCACTAAGTGCAATAAAGAGTGAGTAACCTAAATTTAGGGCCTGGAACCCAGGCTAGTATAAATAATAAACCTGCAAGTACGATTAGAACATTACGCAGCAGTCAATGGACCTTTCCGCTTAGCTCCGCCCCTTGGATATTGTTGCTAAGGTCTCACAAGTCGGCAGTGTTAAAACATACGCGAACACGTGCGTTTGTTGGACAACACGTGTGTTTGTAAGACGCGCGCGTATTCATAGCGCTGTTCTGATTAGTCAATTGTTAAGTTTGATTGACACTCCGGAAAGGTCTATTGGCGGACACAGGAATTCGAAATAGAGATGAGTGGGGGCGGGTTATTTAACCTATGTCACCAGCAAGTTATTAATAGAACAATGAATTGTGTTTACATAGTTTTTAGCATTAGTCGAAATAATCAACCTATAAGTACAATAGAGCCTAATACGCAGTTAGTCAATAGGAGGACCCAGGAATTCGGAATAGAGGGGTGGGGAGAGGCCCCTCCCCCACCCTACTGAATCCGCCACTGGTATAGTGTGGCATATTAGCATGTCATAATTTCTCAAGTTAAAAAAAAATCATTGCATAAAGCAGTCAACGCTTTAATAACCCCTTTCGTGAAGGACCAGAGTAATTGTACACCAGAGTAATTGTACACCATCAAGATGACAAAACAGGCAAATATGGTTACAGAATAACCGGCATAATTATATCTGCGTTCGAGTCAATATTTATAAGGTTGTTAGAAAGCAGTCAATCACTCAATCATTATTAGGCCTAATGGATATGTGTGTTATTTAATATGCAATACCTATGAATGTGTTTTTAACATCATCGTGTGTTTATTAAGAAATTTTGAACAAACGGCCCCAGACTAAGGAAATGGAAGCAAACGGACCTGATTCAATTTACATTAAGATGTGTATAAGAGACAGAGGTCCCACAAAACGACAGCTCAAACGTATGTAAGCAGTGAACGGGCCGCTTGACCCTGATCGATCGATTGTAATGTATACCGTACCCTCCATGGTTAAATTTGGTTGGCACTGACAGAAACTTCCACTGTCATAGAACACTTGTCAATACTCTGTACTATAATAGCATGTTTAAAACACAGGTACTGTCTCTTATACACATCTAGATGTGTATAAGAGACAGACCTATAAGTACAATAGAGCATAATACGCAGTTAGTCAATAGGAGGAGGATCGGAATAGAGGGGTGGGGAGATGCCCCTCCCCCACCCTACTGAATCCGCCACTGGTAGTGTGGCATATTAGCATGTCATGATTTCTCAAGTAAAAAAGAAAAATTCATTGCATAAGCAGTCAACGCTTTAATAACCCCTTTCGTGAAGGACCAGCGAGTAATTGTACACCATCAAGATGACAGAACAGGCAAATATGGTTACAGAATAACCGGCATAATTATATCTGCGTTCGAGTCAATATTTATAAGGTTGTTAGAAAGCAGTCAATAGTGACTCAATCATTATTAGGCCTAATGGATATGTGTGTTATGTAATATGCAATACCTGTGAATGTGTTTTTAACATCATCGTGTGTTTATTAAGAAATTTTGAACAAACGGCCCTAGACTAAGGAAATGAAAGCAAACGGACCCGATTCAATTTATATTACCCCTGCTGGGTTTCTTGTGGAAAATGGGTAGAATATCTTATTCAACCATCCTACCAGCCATATTAATAGGACAGTGTTTGTGTTTACATGGTGTGTAGCATTAGTCTAAATAATAAACATCCAAGTACGATCGTTACGCAGTCAATTGGTGGACCCAGGAATTCGAAATAGAGAGGGCGTGTAGGAGGAGGAGGGGGGGGGGGGGGGGGGGGGGGGGGGGGGGGGGGGGAAGCAGGGTTATTCAACCTCACTGCCTACAAGCCATATTGATAGTGACAGTTAGGCCTATATGTTTACATGGTGTTTAGCATTAGTCTAAATAATAAACCTACAAGTACAATAGGATTAGAGCGTTACGCAGTAGTCAATTGGCGGACCCAGGAATTCGAAATAGAGAGTTGGGGGAAGGGAGGATTTTTTTTAACAGACGGAGGATCTAGACACAAGCTCATTATCCCCACCATGAATGTGGCTGAGGTAAGGAAATTAATGATTACGGCGCCTCTAGATGGCCGGCAATAAAACTTTCAGACTTAAATTTGAATTTTGACTTAAATGTTGAGAAACATTAACCCAGTACCAGCAACTCTCGTCGTCCACCACAGGGGCTGTCTGTTCCAGTACACCGGGTAACCCCCTACTCGTCTCGAAGGATGTACTGGGTTCTTTATAGTGCACACGAGCCATTGTATACACCGGGCCTACGGTTTATAGTCCTTATCCGAGAAGACTTGTTCTACCACCAGAACCATAGGCGAGCGTGCCGTTCGAACCAGCGATATTATGGCTATAGCTTGCGGCGTCCCTGCTAACCGCTCGGCCATTCGACTCACCGTTGAGTACAACAATACATTATATCCTTAATTGAATTTTTAAGTAAATGAGGAAAACTGTAGTAAAACAATTGGCCTATTTATTGTTTTCCCAAAGCATTTAAATACATAATGCTTACCGTATATATAAACATAAGGCTAGAAAATGAAAAGAAATAAATAAAAATATACGAAAATGGAACAGGTTTTAATTAAGTAATAAAATTAAGAGAATATGTTTTCTTTATATTTTCTTTAAATTGAAAAAGGCAATTACATTTTTAAAGTTTTTTTTTGTCGAGCAAATTCTAAAGGTTATCCCAGACTATTGAGACACACTGCAATATTTTGTAGTTTTTACTATATTTAAGTTTAAAACACAGGTAAATGGCAAATGAGTATGATGCGCTTTAAACATAAAAATAGTAGTTTTTATCTCGATTATTTGTTCAAGTTTAATAATTTTAATTTATTGAAAAGGGGATCAGTGTGATTTAGTCACACTGACCGTAAAAATTCCAAAATTAAAAGGACAATTTGTTTTATAAGTACACCCCCATAGAACAATAATAACATATGAAGTGCACGAATATTCAAAATTTGACTAACTTTATAGATTATTGCTATACTTTTGGATAGTTTTCTGAGAACGCTTAAAATATGCTCTTTCCAGTTTAAAAACTGAGTTGATATAAACATTGAGTATTGAAATAAATGTTATAATTCGAGGGGAAATCAGTCATGTGTGTCCACTAATGCAATGGAAGCTGTAGTTTTGAACATCAGACTTTTATTTGGATTTGTTAACTGAACCATGGCAATGACTGGAATTCCCCTCTTGAAGGAAACAGACGTTATGGCCCTAAAATAGGCTATAAGCATAACTAGTTATATATGCCAGGAGGTAAAAAAATAAGACATTAAATATTATCTCCATGTATAAGCTAATAAAAAGGCTTGATAACCTTCCGAATTACTTGTAAAACAAACTTAAGTAAACACTGGTGCTACTAGCAAACAGTACTATGTCAATATAAAGTGTCTGTAGAATGCGGTAACCTGATAGGGCTATACTTAAAATGTACACAAAAGAACTAAACGATGAGGTTATCTGATTTGAAATGTATTTATGTAATTGAGACGATATTTGCGATCATATCAAATACAACACCTCCCTCTGTATCCTTCCCAGGAATTTGAATAAAAAACAAAAAAAAAAACAACAAAAAAACAAACAAAAACATGTAGGCGGGCACTCACTGCACCCCCGGCGATCGATCGTTAACCGACGTCATGAAAAACTGCCACCGAATATCAATAATATAAGTGTATATATAGAACGACTAGGAAATAGGTGTGATCTTCAAAGGCCGAAAGAGAAAGTATGTTAAAAAAGAGAGTTCCTGTTTCCTTTCCTTTATTTCATATGTGAACCTGAATGAAAACTTTTTCAAATAACGTTTTTACAATGTGTCCATATCAATTTGTTTAGGCTGTTTTGACCACGTAACAAAACAATTTTAATACTGCGGGCGTGTGCACGAGAGTTAAAAATGAACAGCGCGCTGGGGCGCAATGTTTGGACGATTTCATTATCTGAAAAGGGTATATCGAAATGCACGTCATTAAACGATCAATTACTCGTGAACACTATTAAATATAGGCCCTAAATTCCAAATCTATTCATAACACTGTAAAAATAAGATAAGTCCAATATCAAGCGTATTCATTATTGAATTTTATCAAGTCCTTGATACAGCAGGTACCATATTTTCGTCAGTTCACAAAATGGAACGCGCCCTGATCCCTGGGTTCACCGGCTTTGAGGTCGGTCAGTTTTCTTTTGAAAGCCTTTGAAATTATGCAATAATGACGGAAGAAAATTTTACCCAATGAGATTATTTTTAATATAACTGATTGCAAGAAAATTGCCTTTCTGTTGCCGCTTCAACCTAAGCAAATGGATTGGTATTAGGCAAAGTTATGACGTAAATAAACGACTCCTCACAAGTCGGCTGAAATCCCGCTGAAAACACTCTAATGTAGCTTATTTTCGTAATTCAACCCAAAAATGACGGAGCTAAATATTTGAAAACAAACATTTTGTAAATTGTTTACAATAGCTATATTTATAACCTTCTATAAACCGTTTCAACCTAAGTCATTTA